CCGGGCCCCGGTCTCCCACGCCGTGGCGCCTCCTCCGCGCGCAGCCGGTGGCTTAGTGGGGAGGAGCCGAGCAGATGTGCGCCTCGCCACCACCCCGAGGCAGGGAGGGGACTCCGGTGACCTCGCCTACCAACTCCCCTCCGCCCCTTCATCCTTTCTTCTCGTTCGCGGCGGACTTTGGACCGTGAGGAGTCCGCGGATGCCCGTGGGAGCTGAGCCCAATGGGAAGGTGGGAGTGGTTTTCGGAAGCAGGTGAGTTTGGAGCGAGAGGAGCCGCCTTCCCTTCTCGGGAGGTGGGGCTTGGAAAGCGCAAAACTCGGGGTCCGGGGGCCCCTAGCCTCCCTGCGCCCTGCGAGCCTCCAGCCTAGGCGCCGCCGGCTTTGCCCCGGGGTTTCCGTAGCAGCACTCGCCGCCTTTCGGAAGAGGTTGCCAGCAGGCCCAGACCCTGGAGCCCTTTCCCGTAGGTGATGGCAACGCCCCAGCTCCCTACCTGGAGAAAAGGTTGGCCAGAAGTAGCGGCCGCCCCCTACAGCGCAGAATCTGATCCCAGGGAGAATTCACTTCAGAAGCATTAGATTCCAGAAGCATTAGATTCCCTCTAGATCAGCGGTTCTCAACCTGTGGGTCGCGACCCCTTTGAGGGGATGTCGAAAGACCCTTTCACAGGGGTCGCCCAATTAATCACAGTAGCAAAATGACAGTGATGAAGTAGCAACGAAAATAATTTTATGGTGGGGGGGGTCGCCGACAACATGATCTGTATGAAAGGGTCGTGGCATTAGGAAGGTTGAGAACCATCGCTCTAAATGATGCAAATTTCATGCTTTGAGATTTCCTCCCTCATGGGGCGGCCTTACAAAAATCTGATTTTTCTTTTTCCTTAAAAAGAACAAACACACACATAAAAGCCCCCCACGTACATTTACTAGGAATTACCTAAAATAGAAGAACCCTCGGGCACAGCACTCAGTTGTTCAAACTCATCAGCTCCGTTGTTGGAGAAAAGACCTGGCAAACTGCTCTGGAAATAATCTCAAACCAAACTCTTTTTTTTTAAATCTCTTTATTAGGGGCTCATACAACTCTTATCACAAT